CTTTTTTTTTTTTTTTTTTTTTATCCGTGCTAGGGTCGCATTCATTGTGCAGGACTTTTCCTTCATTGCATTTGGACTGTTTTCAAAAAAGTAAAATCTACAGGAAGTTGGTTTGCGAACAATTTAAAAGCTGCAAATTGACAACCTTATCGTAGGCAATTCATAGTTGGCTCGTAATTTTCGTGTACAAAGTTAAAATTTCCCGTCGTGAGTCGTGCATCGAGGTCGTGCAATGGGTGGTGAAATTTTGAAACCCTCACGCCTCTATATCATAAAATAAAAACTAATATCACGCCCGTCAAGTTACACGGTCTCGAGTGTTTTTGAGGAAAAGGGTTGGCACTTGAAAAGCTCTGGAAACATCAGTAGACCGGCTTTCAGTGCGGAGGAAATGAAATAAGATCGCACTTCTTCCTTAGTCCGACTCTACACCGTCCTCAGGATGCGGCGTATCCTCCTTGCTGTGTTCTTGCTGAACGTTCTCCTTCTGTCTTCAACTGTCCAAGCAGGTGAGTCAAATTCGAAAATTTTAGCTTTAATATTTTGCAAGATTACAGAATATTCTGCACAATATTCTGCAATTGAGGAGCTTTCCGAGAGAAGGGTCCATATCGAAAATTGCGTTGTGAGAAAAATGCATTTGAAGTTTCCATTGTTACTTTCTGGCCGCTGACGGTGGCTCACATCGGAACTTGCGACCAAAGAGGACTTGTTGTAGAGGGCACTACCGGCACTAGCCACTAACCTTCTCTTTAGGAGGTTACCTCTGGGCGTGGAACGGGTGACTTTTAACTCTAGAGGGTAAATAAATTAAAGTCAAACTTCGTTGTAATACCCTTTAATTTGAATGCAATCAATTTGCGGTTCAGAAGGGAGCCGCCAATTTTTATAATGAGCCCCCCCCTCCCTCCCCCCTTTTACCTCTCAAGGGGGGCTAGGAGGACTTTGAGACCATGCAAGCGGATTCCTTAGGGTTGATTATCAGTGGTGCCATCTTTTCCCATAGAATCTACGTAAATTTCTCGATCAAAGCAAATTTTTTGGAGGGGGCACTGCCCCCCTCCCGATGATCAATTTGGGCCTAGAATAGGCCCATTTTGAATTTTAGGCGTCAAAAGAAAGCGAAATTTCCGGTACTTTTCAAGGCTGGTGCAATTTCATCGCAATTCGGTCGGCAACCCCAACTTTTAGGATCATGACTCCCCCCCCCGCCCCCCTCTATCCCTCAAGGGTGACGGGGGAAGGGGATCGGGGCCATGACATTCGGATTCTCTTAGGTCGATTCCTTACACTCACCCCCGTGGTCCCTGACTTCGTGTGACCTAAAAAAACCGAGAAAAAAAAATTGGCACGGGCTGTCTGAAACACCCTATATAAACAAATTATTATCTTTGATAACACCACATATGATTTTTCAATTAGGAACTACAATTTCTGGCTCATCCGTGAAAACCTTTACATGCATAGGGAAACTAGTGGTACGCACGTTGTTTCAAAACTGATTAACAAATTGCGGTTCCTAATTGCAAAAAGTATAATCCAACAGCAAGTATTATTATGTACTTTATTATTGGTCATGCGCCACTTCAATCCATTTAGTGGTTCAATTCGTTTGTAATCCTATACTGAGGGAGCACTATTGTCCACCGAAGTCTAATGTTTATGAAACAAATGTCAATCGGACGTGTAAGTAGTTATACCGTATACAAATCGCATATCGTCCACAACGTATTGCAGATTCTTAGATGCGCGCAACGAGTGGACTCCCCGCTTATTTGAAAAGTGGCGCGTCAATTCGTATATTTTGCCGAGCGCGCCACAAAATTGGCGGGAACCAATAGGAGCGAAAGTTTCGTTTGTTTACATTCGCATTATATTTTTTGATAAGCCAGTTGTAATGTAAACAAACGTGGTTCCTCGTCCTCTCGTGAGTGTTTTATAAGTCCTTTGATTATTCAAATTTTCACGAGGATTTTGATATTTTGTATCAGCGCCGAAGTAGTTTCATATGCCTATCTTAAGGTGATTCGTCAAGCTCAAGTGACGTGGTCGAACTGGCATGCGATACATCGCATCTTTTAGGTAAAAAATCTCGGCAGATTTTGAATTTTCAGCAAAAAAAAGGACGATAGCCCCTGCGCATGAGCCTGAAGAATCATTCTAAACCCAAAAATCGGCAAAATTCAGAGAAATGAAAACAGGATAGTGTTTGGAAAAAAACCTCGCATTCGATACCGAAATCGGTAGCTGAATCGAATGCGAGGTTTTTTTCCAAACACTATCCTGCTTTCATTTCTCTGAATTTTGCCGATTTTAAGGTTTAGAATGATTCTTTAGGCTCATGCGCAGGGGCTATCGTCCTTTTCTTTACTGAAAATTCAAAATCTACCGAGATTTTTGACCTAAAAGATGCGATATATCGCATGCCAGTTCGACCACGTCACTTGAGCTTGACGAATCACCTTAACCACATTCTACCAAAGAATATTCAATGCAGTGTTTTCTTGTTCAATCACCTAAGTTTACAAGTCAACACCCTGAGGGCTAAGTTCCCAAGTAAGTTCTCACTATTAGTTTGTTTTTTTCTACTCTCACAGTCAGTTTTACTAGCACTATACTGTTCAAAATTATCAAGGCCTTCAAATTCCAAGACGCTTCAAATCTTCCATTTTGGTTCGTTTATCAATGAGTCGAATACTTATCACCAGGGATTCACTTGTCATTTTGTGGTCTACGTAGGTACTCCAAATGTCTTACAATGTCAGCATCTCACCAGTTTACTTACTAATACTCCAAGTCATTTTAAAGAAGGTTTTCTCAGCTGAGAGATTAAATACCTATGTCTTGCCTGGAAATAAGACTATGGAAGGTCTCAGTCAAATTAAGAGTCTAATCTACTGAGTACCTAGTGTCTATCAGGGGCCGGCTAAAGTTTGATTTTCCTTTGATAATCGTGCCTTCAAAATAGTTGATTTCATGTCCCAAGTATCACAGATTCATACATATCCCTCAAGAATTGACAACAGGATGAATAAAGTTTCCTTGAAGCCTAATAGGTTTGTAGGTTCTTATCGTTAGAAAAGAAAAACAGAAGAGTTTATCTGACGACAGGCAGAAAAGACCAAATGCATTAAGGCTGCAATGAACATTCACATTAAATGTCAGAATCGATAAATCTTTGGCCACCTTTCATTCAAATCTATTTTTCCTCTCCGCTCATCAAACTGCAGCAAAAGGTTAGGTAATTCTCACTGGTAAAACCTACTATAAGTAGAATTTAAAGGGTGTTTCAGACTATCCGTATCAAACTTTTTCTCTGTTGCTTTTAGGTCAGATAGAGTCAGGGTGTCCGATGAGGAATCTACCTCTAAAAATCCAAATTTCGAGGCTTCATAGCCGCCCCCCCCCCTGGAACTTCCTTCGGGGGTAGACTAAGAAAAAGTTAGGGGTCCCATAAAATATCTGAATTATTCCACCAAATTCAGAAAGTAAAGACAATTTTACCACAAACCAATACCAAGAATTCCATAATTACACCACTCCTGCTCAAAATATTAAGTAGAGATGGGAAACAGGGCCTTCTCTCCAAAATGCATTACTTATCGCAAAATTAAAGATGATTTCTTAAGTAATTCTAGATAGATGGAGTTTTTTTTATTCTAGATAGTTAGATGGTTTCTTTAGTTTATGTTTTACTTCTTTTGGCGCACGAGGCTAGACCTCTTGGCAAGTTTATTTGTAGTGGCTTTAACTTAATTACTGTATTATGTATTTTCTTTATTGATAAATGAAATCTGAATCTGAATTGACAACCAGAAATTCAAATTTGACAGCCTTAAGGTCCTCTAAACATTTCTTGATGTGATGTAGGGAGGGGCCCTAACCTTGGAAAATTTACTAAATTACCTCTGTATCACATCAGATTTTTTTTTGGGGGGGGGGGCGGCTTGGGATTTTCAAACAGAAATTTTGCAAGTGAAATCCTATTTTAGCCTACGGCGCGACGCGGCGCCTGGGCTGTTGGCCATTTTCAAGACTGATTTTCTGTGGTGTACCGGTGACGTGTATGATCCGTCATACAACTTACTCCCACCGCATCTTACGGTGAACGCACAGAGATTTAAGAAATTGTTCCTAACAACAGACGCGATGCAGTCAAAGACGAACACTATATTCATTGAAAATATTTTTAGAATACTGCATTAAAAATTAATTTGGATAGTCATTGAATGAAGACGCCTAGTCCTTAAACGATACGCTTCACTAGAACTTTTTTTTTTTAATTCACACAGGTTTAGTCAACTTTTTTCCTCTTTTTTCACCCTTATTTATGTCTCAATATACTCAAAAAATCTCAGCAACATTTTTGCGAGAAATTGGCTTTAGGTCCTGCCGCATCGGACTCGAGATTAACCGTAGGTTGATTTATATTTCTGACTGGACCTTTTTCCACCTACTTCTTCAGCGGAAAAAAAAAATACACATACGTTGATATGTGTGCTCGAGTTTTTCCTAAAGTAACCATGAAACGCCTTTGCCGCATTCGTCGTTTTTCCATCGGAGAACGGAGGGCCCGCAGCCCACTTTAAGGGCGGCAACGTTGTCATGTATTTCAACAATCAAAGCAATATTCGGACAACTGAATGCAGTGATGAAAATCAGTAATAGTTTACTTTATCGGCACCAAAAGCATTGCTGTAATTAAGCTGTGGTATGAGATAAACAAGCAAAACTCCCTTACTCAGTGTCGAATGCGCCGAACACCATTCATATTTCATTTTAACTCCTGGATGCAACTATTCGGGCTCCACGGATGACCATGTTACAAACCCACGAAAGTGAAGGCCTTTTGACTGTACAGGCACTTATTCACCTGCAGCGCGTCGCCGAGCCGGGCTTTACAGTGAGGATTCAAAGTAGCTGAGCGCTATCAATTCCTCATTTGTACCGCAAAGATACCTCTTAGGCACGAATAGTTGCATTACAGACGCAGGATATGAGTATTTTTTGTGCTTCAGTTTTAATATGGCGATGTGCTGAGAGTAATTTATAGAGCAACTATTAAGGCCGAAGAGATATCTTCGAATTATAAATGAAGAATTGAAGGCTCAATGTTATTTAAGCTCCTCGCAGTTGAGACCGCTGCACAATGAAACGAGCCTTTCAGAGAGCTTGGAAATGGAATTTTCGACTATAACCGCAAATTTCGAGGTTGATTTCTTCCGATTATAAATTGTATGGGATGCTTCTTGAAGGAGATTTTACAAGGAGACCAATGAAACCACTTCTATTTATAAGACCTCAACGTTGTGTATTAAGATCGATATGAGCTTTCAATGTTTCCACATTTTGTCTGACTCTTCTCATCAACCGCCTCCACTGAGCGCCGCCGCTGGCGAAGCGGTAAGTGTATGAATTCACAACGCCTTCCCTCCTGTGCGTATGCTACACGGACATCGATGGAGCCCGAATAGTTGCATCCAGGCATCATAATGAAACTCGTTTAGTACCCATCGCATGCGACACTAACTGAAACTTTGATCCTTTCTGTTACACCACAACTTAATTCCGCAGGGTTGCCTTTTGTGCCGATGAAGTAAACAAATTACTAATTTGTATCGCGACATTGTCAATTTTCCAAGAAATGCATCTTATAAGTTTATTACAACGTTGCCGGCCCTCGAAATAGCAAAAAAATAGGTATCTGAGCACGATATGTAGAGTTTCTTTCCACCTTTTTTAATAATTCGTCGTTGGTTTTTTTTTTTTTTTTAACTTTTATTTCCTTGTCCTTTGGGGGAACTAATTTTGATGTTCTAGTGCGAAATTTTCAAAGAACAAGCCTAATGAATCGCACGGAGCTTCGAACCAAAACTATGATCATTCGTCTTTCGAAAAAATGTTAAGCGACGGGAAGTGTCTGTAAAATTTAAAGCCTACGTACACGAATGTGATTTCCTAGGTGCAATGGCGAAAATATAAGAACATAAAGTCGGGTAAATATTCTGGTGAAAATTATATTGTGTTCTCATCGTTTTCTCCTGAAATGAGGGCTGTGTGTAGTACTTCTTTAAAATTTCAAGAGTAAAGCTTAACGCATAAAGTCTGGGGCACGAAGCGCTTAGGGGATTGAATCGCGAAGCGGTTAGGGGCCGCACAGTCTAGTTGCTTTTTAAATTGTTATTTCTACAGTGCCTTCTGATTTAGTTTTTTGTCATGGGAACGTGTCAAAAAAATAAAAAAAATCGCCGTCATGCAGCAGAAAAGGAACAACTACTGCAATTTTATCAGCGAAAGGTAAATGTTCTGACTTCTGCTAAATCAAAGGCAGATCCCAGTAGGTACCCATTATAAAAATGGTATCCCCAATGCTAAGTGATTTATCAAACATTTCTCAAGTTCCCATGGCGAGTATTGCTATAGCACTGCGGTTGCAGACACAAGATTGTTTGATATAAATTAGTTTTCCTGATGATTTTCCCTCAAATTTCAGGTTTTGGAGAGAATTTCCTGCGTCTCTTTCGTCCTCAAGAGAACAGTGATGAAAGCTCGAGCAGCTCGAGCAGCTCAAGCGAAGAAGTTGGGGTCAAAACGAAGGTCGAGACTTCCGTAGATGTATCAAGCATTGTCCGAAGCATTTGGACGATCCTTCAAGACCTGTTCAAAACCCATGTCCTGGAGATCGAGAAGAAGGCAGTCAATATCCTCCGTCACGAGACGAAACTTCTTTCATTCCACAAGAACAAATTCAACTTGCTGAAATTGAAACTGAGTGACCTGAAATCGAAGAAAAGCGATTCCCTGAACAGATTAAAGTATTGTATCCCTTTATTCAGGTCCCTTGAAGAATTTTATAGTTCAAAGAAGGCAGAGGAAGGAGAGGCAAATCTACTGGCTTATTATTCTTTCGCCCACCAAGTTATCTCAGAGATACTGACTTTGTTGGAAGAAAGTAGCTCCAACAAAGAAGTTTTCTCCACCGAAAATGAAACCAAGGAATGGGAAATAATTTTGAGTGCAAAATTTGAGCTTAATATAAAGGCAGGGGATTTGCATACTATATATGAAAAGTTGGAGTCGTTAAAGTCCAAACGTGCGTCGATTAAAGGCAATAATGTCAAAAACAAATCAAAAACAAAAACATCAATGAAGTATTTTTTAACCTCGCTGAAAATTTGGACATTGACGCAGGAGATCATTTATTCATTAGTATTCAGCATAAATATGAAAACCACGACTTCGACGGAATGTGAGAAGAAATTTATTTCATTTTATGGGGAAGACTACCCTTTCTTTGCGTTGAAATTGAATGAGTTGGGCACGGATAAAGAAACATGTGAGAATGCCATTATTTATATGATACCAATTTTAAAGCAAATAGGATTATTTTATTACTCTTCCTTGACAATATACCGTTCCAAGACGGAACGTCAAGATTCCACCGAGGTTAAATTTTATTCTTTCGCGTATCATAATGTGGCTGAAATATTATCAATTCTTCAATCAGGTAGCAGTAATCAGTCCATATTTTCAGTAAAATCTGCTCAAAAGGAACGAGAGCTAATACGCACAGGGATCTTCATCAAAATTAATGAAAGCGACTTAAACAAAATCTGGCAAAAACTTAAGCTTTTGAGAGAAAATCAATCATCCTTTACAACTTCCAAGCATAAAAAAGTAAAGATCTCCAATGCAAACCAGTCCACCCGTCCCACTTCACACTTAACTCAAACAAGCCAATATTTACAGACCACTTACAAAATTTGGATACTAATATCTCAGTTTATTCAGACAGTAATACACAGTATAGAAACTAAAACCACGTTTTTCGAATGTGAAACCAAGTTTCTAGACTTTTATAATAATCAATTTCCATATTTTGTAAATTTTTTTAAAAAATTACAAACAGGTGAAGGTAACTACCACAGTCCGATCAAACAAGTAATTCCTGCTGTGAAAAACTTGAGGAACTTCTTCAAGTCGATATCCGAGAAGAACATATCAACCCTATCAATGTCAAACCAATACAACTTAATCAAGTTTCATACGATGGCATACAAGACTTTCTCAGACATCCTGGCTTACCTTGAGAAGAGGTGCTCTAATAAATCGATTTTTACGGAAGAATCAATAGATGACGATATACGAATTCTTTCGGCCACGGACTTTGAAATTAATATACAGGCAACCGACTTACAAACTATTTATGCTCATCTAACAACTTTAGAAGAAAAACTAACAAAAGAAAACTATTACAAATCACATTTAAAACATGTGGTTAAAAGCGAAATATCATCTTCAGCAGCCATTCCATACCTATCAAACTCTACAAAAACAGAAAAAGAAATAGTACCCATCAACAGACATAAAGATTCTAATTTCGGCAAAAATATTTACCTGCTGACAGAAAGACTGTTCGTCTCTCTGGTGAATTCGATCCAGACTAAAAAATCTATCGCGTGCGAATACGACGCAAAGCTCCTCCAATTCTACAGCGAGCATTCCCAGTTCTTCGCTTCGAAGCTCAAGGAAGTCCTCACACTGAAAAACGACAGCTCCCAGAGTGTACTAAAATGGATCTTTCCGCTTGTGAAACGCATGACAACGTACTACTATACCGCATCTCGTGAGACGACGACGACGACGACGACAGCAACGACCTCCGTCACTAACGAATCCGCCGTCACGAGCTTCTACTCCTACGCCTACGCCAAACTCACCACCATTTTGACCGTGCTTCAAGAGAAATGCTCCGACAAAACGATATTTTCAACGGAAACTTTCAGCGAGGAGTCAAAGCTTCTCTCGAGCAGTGCATTCACGCTGACGCTCCAAACGGAGGATCTGCAAGAAATCCAAGAGACGTTGTCCACTGTCAGGCGACGCCAATCAGGTATCTTCGCTGATACCAACATCCCTATTCCGGGAGTGGAAATGAAGGGTCTTATCTCCGGGTCTGAGGGCCTCACTGGCTCCTCTGAAGCTCTCATCTCAACAAGCAGCACTCAAAGCCTCTCTAGTTTCAGCAAAAATATTTACCTGCTGACAGAAAGACTGTTCGTTTCTCTGGTGAATTCGATCCAGACTAAAAAATCTATCGCGTGCGAATACGACGCAAAGCTCCTCCAATTCTACAGCGAGCATTCCCAGTTCTTCGCTTCGAAGCTCAAGGAAGTCCTCACACTGAAAAACGACAGCTCCCAGAGTGTACTAAAATGGATCTTTCCGCTTGTGAAACGCATGACAACGTACTACTATACCGCATCTCGTGAGACGACGACGACGACGACGACAGCAACGACCTCCGTCACTAACGAATCCGCCGTCACGAGCTTCTACTCCTACGCCTACGCCAAACTCACCACCATTTTGACCGTGCTTCAAGAGAAATGCTCCGACAAAACGATATTTTCAACGGAAACTTTCAGCGAGGAGTCAAAGCTTCTCTCGAGCAGTGCATTCACGCTGACGCTCCAAACGGAGGATCTGCAAGAAATCCAAGAGACGTTGTCCACTGTCAGGCGACGCCAATCAGGTATCTTCGCTGATACCAACATCCCTATTCCGGGAGTGGAAATGAAGGGTCTTATCTCCGGGTCTGAGGGCCTCACTGGCTCCTCTGAAGCTCTCATCTCAACAAGCAGCACTCAAAGCCTCTCTAGTTTCAGCAAAAATATTTACCTGCTGACAGAAAGACTGTTCGTTTCTCTGGTGAATTCGATCCAGACTAAAAAATCTATCGCGTGCGAATACGACGCAAAGCTCCTCCAATTCTACAGCGAGCATTCCCAGTTCTTCGCTTCGAAGCTCAAGGAAGTCCTCACACTGAAAAACGACAGCTCCCAGAGTGTACTAAAATGGATCTTTCCGCTTGTGAAACGCATGACAACGTACTACTATACCGCATCTCGTGAGACGACGACGACGACGACGACAGCAACGACCTCCGTCACTAACGAATCCGCCGTCACGAGCTTCTACTCCTACGCCTACGCCAAACTCACCACCATTTTGACCGTGCTTCAAGAGAAATGCTCCGACAAAACGATATTTTCAACGGAAACTTTCAGCGAGGAGTCAAAGCTTCTCTCGAGCAGTGCATTCACGCTGACGCTCCAAACGGAGGATCTGCAAGAAATCCAAGAGACGTTGTCCACTGTCAGGCGACGCCAATCAGGTATCTTCGCTGATACCAACATCCCTATTCCGGGAGTGGAAATGAAGGGTCTTATCTCCGGGTCTGAGGGCCTCACTGGCTCCTCTGAAGCTCTCATCTCAACAAGCAGCACTCAAAGCCTCTCTAGTTTCAGCAAAAATATTTACCTGCTGACAGAAAGACTGTTCGTTTCTCTGGTGAATTCGATCCAGACTAAAAAATCTATCGCGTGCGAATACGACGCAAAGCTCCTCCAATTCTACAGCGAGCATTCCCAGTTCTTCGCTTCGAAGCTCAAGGAAGTCCTCACACTGAAAAACGACAGCTCCCAGAGTGTACTAAAATGGATCTTTCCGCTTGTGAAACGCATGACAACGTACTACTATACCGCATCTCGTGAGACGACGACGACGACGACGACAGCAACGACCTCCGTCACTAACGAATCCGCCGTCACGAGCTTCTACTCCTACGCCTACGCCAAACTCACCACCATTTTGACCGTGCTTCAAGAGAAATGCTCCGACAAAACGATATTTTCAACGGAAACTTTCAGCGAGGAGTCAAAGCTTCTCTCGAGCAGTGCATTCACGCTGACGCTCCAAACGGAGGATCTGCAAGAAATCCAAGAGACGTTGTCCACTGTCAGGCGACGCCAATCAGGTATCTTCGCTGATACCAACATCCCTATTCCGGGAGTGGAAATGAAGGGTCTTATCTCCGGGTCTGAGGGCCTCACTGGCTCCTCTGAAGCTCTCATCTCAACAAGCAGCACTCAAAGCCTCTCTAGTTTCAGCAAAAATATTTACCTGCTGACAGAAAGACTGTTCGTTTCTCTGGTGAATTCGATCCAGACTAAAAAATCTATCGCGTGCGAATACGACGCAAAGCTCCTCCAATTCTACAGCGAGCATTCCCAGTTCTTCGCTTCGAAGCTCAAGGAAGTCCTCACACTGAAAAACGACAGCTCCCAGAGTGTACTAAAATGGATCTTTCCGCTTGTGAAACGCATGACAACGTACTACTATACCGCATCTCGTGAGACGACGACGACGACGACGACAGCAACGACCTCCGTCACTAACGAATCCGCCGTCACGAGCTTCTACTCCTACGCCTACGCCAAACTCACCACCATTTTGACCGTGCTTCAAGAGAAATGCTCCGACAAAACGATATTTTCAACGGAAACTTTCAGCGAGGAGTCAAAGCTTCTCTCGAGCAGTGCATTCACGCTGACGCTCCAAACGGAGGATCTGCAAGAAATCCAAGAGACGTTGTCCACTGTCAGGCGACGCCAATCAGGTATCTTCGCTGATACCAACATCCCTATTCCGGGAGTGGAAATGAAGGGTCTTATCTCCGGGTCTGAGGGCCTCACTGGCTCCTCTGAAGCTCTCATCTCAACAAGCAGCACTCAAAGCCTCTCTAGTTTCAGCAAAAATATTTACCTGCTGACAGAAAGACTGTTCGTTTCTCTGGTGAATTCGATCCAGACTAAAAAATCTATCGCGTGCGAATACGACGCAAAGCTCCTCCAATTCTACAGCGAGCATTCCCAGTTCTTCGCTTCGAAGCTCAAGGAAGTCCTCACACTGAAAAACGACAGCTCCCAGAGTGTACTAAAATGGATCTTTCCGCTTGTGAAACGCATGACAACGTACTACTATACCGCATCTCGTGAGACGACGACGACGACGACGACAGCAACGACCTCCGTCACTAACGAATCCGCCGTCACGAGCTTCTACTCCTACGCCTACGCCAAACTCACCACCATTTTGACCGTGCTTCAAGAGAAATGCTCCGACAAAACGATATTTTCAACGGAAACTTTCAGCGAGGAGTCAAAGCTTCTCTCGAGCAGTGCATTCACGCTGACGCTCCAAACGGAGGATCTGCAAGAAATCCAAGAGACGTTGTCCACTGTCAGGCGACGCCAATCAGGTATCTTCGCTGATACCAACATCCCTATTCCGGGAGTGGAAATGAAGGGTCTTATCTCCGGTTCTGAGGGCCGTCCACTAGCAAACGGTACCATGTCCGCCTCATTTAACAATGAATCGGTTTTGTCCAATACCACGTCATCGATGTATGTTGGTACCCGTTTTGAAAACGCCTCTAAGAGTTGGAAAACAGTGAATGGAACCTCCGCCTTCGTAGATAAGATGACTGGTAACCTGCAAATCTTGCAGAAATATTACTGTGATGAACTGGGAATTTTAGTTGATTATGACGGAGAAAAAATCGGTAGTAGTATTGCTACTGTGAAAATCAATGGAACCCCTCTTCTCAATTTCTTCAAGCGGATTGTTTCGTACCATGAAAAATATGTTGGAATGACTAAGTCCCGGTCGGATTCTGTGGTCCAGCTCTTGAAGTTTCTTCGATTCGACAGGAAGGTTCAAGGTGTTCTTTTTGATATGATAAAGGAGTTTCTGGAATGGAAAACGCATGTCGCAGATTTTTTCGTGGCACACAATGTCTCTGAAATGTGTCTGACAGAATGCGTGCTCCAAACTTAATTTTTGTAGGTCATTTTATTGCAGTGGCTACATAGGTGCTATGTCGCGGCTCCCTATGTTTTAGTTTGTTTTAATAAACTGTGAAGTTACTGAACAGGTTGTATCTTTTCATTTTTGTCTTATTTTTTGTAACTACCCAAGTATAAAATTAGTTAGAGATCCGTGTTCATTCCTTTTCTCGAACTCGCCTCAGCCCTTCCAAAAGAAACTATCATTTAAACGATGAAGTGTAGGAAAAAAGTAGGTAAAATATATTTCCTCGTTGACTTATCTGAAATAATATCAATATCATATCAAAATCACGAATAATATCATAATTTTATCTGAGTGTTAATGTACGATGATAATGGTCAAAATAGTAGATTTATAATGATATCGATGGAATTTTAGTTCCCCTGAAGCTGCGACTTAATTCTTGGGCCCCTGTGGCTCCAAAGTGATTAAAAGAATGATAACATGCGGTTCATAAAATGATTCATGTTGGTACATTCACCTGGAACGGACGAAATTGCCCACTTGGCAACTTTTTTCCCCGTCCGCGGACTAGCCTTTGTCATCTCAAGGGTTAGATGAATGAAACCGACAGAAAAATGACATTCAACGAAAATATCCATCAAAGTTTATTCTGAACTTATTTCAAAATTTGGAGATTAAAAAATCCATGAAACCCTGAAATTCGTTAACCAATCAGAGAGCGGCGCATTTTTTGCGGTAAAAGGATTGAGATGACACACTAATTTTCTTAGCTAGGTACTCTGTTGTGAGAGTTTTAGAGCTCCCGAGAGTTTTTAGCGACAACTCCCGTGAATTTCTGAAGAGATATGAAAAGCGGGAGTGCCTTCAATTTTGGAGAATGCAACACGCACATCCGCGGAACACTAATAGTTGTATAGAGGCGCCGCTATCCAGCTTTCGTAAGGGAAATTCATCAATTACTTAACGCATAGACTGCATTTAATATTAACAACCACGCAGTTCTCTTGGCGTAGTTCTCAGATTTTTAACTGATCAGTCCGTAGACTGGCTGCCCTTCACACGGATTGGGAAAAAACATCGGCCAGTTCACGAGGTTTTTTTAAATTCCAAAAATTGTACAAAATTTGTACCACAGTTAGAATTAGAACTCAGCCTGAGTCACACTCTGAACTGGAGACCTGAGATTTCCAATAACATGACCACGCAGAATTGCACCCTTTATGGACTGCATTTTGCAATTTGGAACTATAAATTCTGGCTCTTCTGGAAAAACACTTATGTGCATAGGGAAACTACTGGCATATACGTTGTTTTAAAACCAAGGTAGAATTTATAAGTAGTTCCAAATTGCAAAATGTAGTCCTTATAATCTTACGAGTAGAATTATTTAAGTTATGATAGGAATTATGCTTACTATACCTAAATACTATTTCTTTCTTTCTTTCTTTCTTTCTTTCTTTTCTTTTTGATGGAAAGGCTTACTTTTTCTTTTGACTGCTTTATTTTTCTCTTGAAAAATAAATAAATATCATTCTAGGAGATAATATGGATAAATTTCTGGTCATCAAAAAAAAATGAAAACCGTAACTTACTTAGCTACCAATACTTAACTTGATTCTGCTAAGAGAATGAAAAAATACGGTTGTTGAAGAACAGTCGTTTTTCAGAGACCTGATTGGAGGNGGGGGGGGGGGGGATCAGACCTTTCATGTGGTAATCTCGACCTCGGAGTATTATCTAAGATATATATTTGTACTTTTAGATTTTTGGGTTCTTTTTAAGATAACCAAATTAGTGGTTAAGGGCCAATACCTCAACAGAGACTTCTACACATGATCAGTGACAAATCTGAAGAATAATATATTATTAAACCCCCGCATAACTTGATTTTGACTGCCTTGAAATCAAGAAGGGAAACTTCATGAGTAAAAAACCAACTTGCAACGATTTGGCTCTGACAAATGGCCTTGAATTTAAAATTTCACAGCACCATTGATGGGACAAACGAACCTCATGAGGAACTATTATTCGTACCTTCTCCTGAAGTTATTTACAGTAAAACGCCAGCCATTCCTCTTTTTAAAACAATTAATTAGTCCCCTCTTATCTTAAACCCAAAGCCAAAGTTGGATCCCATCAATTTTATCTACATAAAATCTAAGGTATATAAAGTGTGAAATGCAAAACCACAATGGATACATAAAAATGTGTCTTTATTAATGTATAATTTAAACAAATACTATTATTTACAATACTACAATGACACATTAAGTTGTAGATAAAATCATCAAAGCATGCACCATTCAATGACATGTGAAGTACTTTTTTGTTCAATAAATTCTAAAATAATTGCTGATGCTGAGATGCTTGAATAATCATTCAAAAGAAAATAAAAAAGGATGGGGATGATTGGTAGGAAGTTAACCAGAATAAATGGAAACTTCATACAGGTTTATGAATTGTTGTAATAATTCCATTCAGTCAATTATAAAGTAAAAAATTTAGATATCTTGAAAAGTATCACTTCAGAATGTTACATAATTGCAATATGAGCATTCACTTTCATCATTAATAATATTAGAGAAAAGAAAGAGGGATAAGGCGAGAAAATTACATATCAGGACACTCATCATCAGTTGTATTCATTACCTTGATTTAAGGGCAAAAATTATGCTGTAGGTAATGACAATTTGAGTGGAGAAGATACCAAACCACATTCTTGCGGCAAAAAAAGTGACAGCAGATGAAATTGACACTAACACATTCAATCCAGTCGTAGTTTCAGAAATAAATTGAGCTGGGACAACTTGACAGAATTCACAGAAATTTCTGGCGTGACTTCAAGTTTGATACCTCTCTTCCATCCAAGACTTCCGAGATTACATTTTAAGTTTCAAAAAATAATGATAACCCTCTGAATCAATTTGGTTTTCAGTTTAAGGGACTACAAGATATCTCATAGGATTATTGTCAACACTGAATATAAAATTCTACTGGGAAATAGCTGGGTTATTGAGGAATTTTGATAAATGAATGTAAGGTATTGCAGGGTACAACAAAATTAAGTCACTGTGATCCCAAATAGTAATTGAAAACTGTTTAAACAGAGTAGTAAATTTTCGATCATCGACCTGCATAGGTGTCACAACATGGTAGTTACAACAAGGTAGTTACAACATGAAACATTGATTATGAAAACTTGAGTTCGGAACATGTAAAGGGTATACATTAAAAAGTTTCAAAGATTACTTTGAATCATTAGGTTTCAACAAGAGATATTCGAAATTTCCAAAGAAATACAATTTTCATGGGCCACAAGGTATGATAGGATAAGATGGAAAACACTAACAAAAGCTTACACGGAAATCCTAAAAGATAAATTCTTCAACGAACAGACGTAAAAATAAAAATTCGATAATCCTAGAAAATTGCTTAAATGAAAAAAATAAAGGTTGCATAAAAAATATCACAGTATATCTCATTTTCCAAAATAAAGTCAAAAATCTATCCTGGCAAATCCCCTTCTAAAGTAACAATTATAAAATATTTAAACAACAAAGATATTGTTTTAAACTAGAGACTTTGAGAATCGAAAACATATCATGCTACAAGCTTCCTCCAGTGAATCAATTCCAGGGTTACCTACATCCTTTGTTCAAATTCAGGCTTATTTAAGGAGTACGCTTCTAGATCTTGATTACCGTTAGGATGCAGAAACATAGATCAAGTGTTTTCAGTTTAAGGACAGAAATGAGCGATGACAGCACTTTCTGAATATGCTGTTGAATAAGTGGACCCCGTTTAGCAGAAAAGAACAAGCCACATAAGCTGTTGCCAAATTTGATCCGGCAATTACATTTTTTACAAGAAAACGGCAGATTTTAGTGAATGTTCTGCATAGTACAAAGCAAATTCCTTAAAACTTTCAAATAAATTCGCTCAAACGTTGTCTTGTAAAAAATTAAATTGCCCAGTTAAATTTGGCAATAGTTGATGTGACTTGGTTCCTTTCTGCGAAACGCAGTCCAAATATCAAGAAGCGTGGAATGAATTACAGATACCTCTGATGACTACTAGCGGTTCTCCAGTGGGCCCACAAATCGTAGCTAGTAGTCCTGGAAAGACTTCGACAACATCGATGGGTGATCTTAACTTAGATAGTAAAATAGGTGAGAATCAGGCCAGTTAATTTTTGCAAACTGTCCTGGTACCTGAAATGTAGTAGTGTTGTAGTAGTCACCAATTTGACTGGCACAGGTATAACGGAAGTTGTGCACCCTAAAGTTGGGCCAAGCTAGTTGACTAACGTAAGATTGACACATACATAATCCTGAAAGGCTCAGCGGTCACTTTTTACGCCAGCAATAGGTTGTATCGATAACTGTAGAAGACTCAGCATGGAATCATTTGGAACACGGCCGTGTCACCACTGAGTCGGGCTCTGTTGTTACAATCTCCTACTGATCCACGATTGAATTACAACACAGGTGAAGAGTGCAAACTAACTTCTACCAGATTACGATGTCCCTCCTTACCCTGCTGCATCTAAGGGACAAGCTGGGTGGTGGAGTGGCATTGTCACCCACAGCCAAGACGATGGATTATGAGGGGTCTTTGAAAATTCGTCTCCACCGGGAATTGAACTTAGTGCCTCAGTGTTGGCAGCGAAACCAGACATTTTGAATCTTTAAACATCGATATCCAACAAAATATTTCACAACTTAAAATACCTATCAAAATTAAATGAGAGACCAAATGTTACAATGTTTTCAATGTTTTGTCAATTGACAATTTTTATTTAAATTGGGTTTTGACAATTTTTACTGCGAAGAAAAACCTTGTTGCCTAAAGAGGAATTGGTGTATTTTGAATTGTCTATGACAACATCAGGCTGCTATCTAAACAATGATGGCACCTAAAGCATGGCTTAGGATGGGTGTCGGGTCTTTTTGCCAGCTTAGTTTCACATAGGCATTTTATTTTAGATTTTTACATTTGTTATAGGAATTGCAAGAAAAGCTATTACCTTAGATAAGCCATCTATTATAATGCAATGAGTGCTTTATTCGTCAATAATTTTAAAGAGTCAAAACTGAATATTTAAAAATGAGTGGTTCA